GTCTGTGCAAGAAACTGAACAGTATTTATATCGTTTTTTACCTCTGATTCACACAATGTCCGAACTGTTCGAATTGTCCTGAGCGCATTCTCAACAGCAGGCACGTGACGCGTCTTCTTCTTCTTCTTGCTTTATGGTGGATTGCAGACTTATAAGTGCATTACCGCCACCTATCTCTCAAATGGACCATTGACACTCCTAATTGAGATTGTAGATAGAGTGTCAATGGTCCATTTGAGAGATAGGTGGCGGTAATGCACTTATAAGTCTGCGATTTTTTTTGTTCCATGCACAGTGGTTTTGTTTGTGTATGTTTTTTTTTTACTCTCAAAAGCTGTGATTCCCATTCACCTCCATTATAAGACTGACAGACTGCAAAGGTTTGTGTTAAAAATCTTCGTTTGTGTTCTACTGAAGAAACAAAGTCACCTACATCTTGGATGCCCTGGGGGTAAGCAGATAAACATCAAACTTTCATTTTTGGGTGAACTATCCCTTTAATTTTGAGTGGTTTCTCAAATTTTGAGCAAATTTGATGTGATTTTTTTCTGAAGAGGAATATGGAGGTGTGTTTTTGACAAGTTGAGTTAAGTCTAAAACTGAACAAGTTTATTTAAAAATCAGTCTCAGAAATGTCCGTTTGAGAGCACAGCTTTGACAGTGGACCCTTGATAAGTCCCTATATATAGATCCTTACATGTATGTCCTTATCATCACCCCCTCTGGAGTGCATGAAGACAGAATCAGCCTGCTTCTGATGGCCATGTTTGATCAGCAGAAAGGAGATATAATGCACATTTGTTATCACACCACGGAGGGAAAATGTACCTTAATTGCCTCAAACGTAGACAAGGGCTTTGTCACAGGGCTGGAATTTGCCAGTATGAAGTGGTGAGATTAGGAGCACTTCTTTTTGTACTCTCCAGTGACATGAGGAAGAGAGAGAGAGTGCTGGGAGTTCAGCCAGGCAAATCCTACCTTTCCCCCAAAGCCATGGCTTTCCGACCACATGCACATGACATCATTTGGAGCGTGTGAGATAAGGATGAGGGGGGAAAACTCATTTACATGCTGTTTTAAAAGGTTATCTCCTCTTAGGTCCTGACATAATGTGTGCAGTTTAAGTCCAATCATTCTCCTGACACTGATAGTCTATTAAACGCATACAGAGCCGCCCACTGGCATGCTAGACTTCTCGTCCTGTCTTCTGTTACCACCTGCTACTACTGTTGCCACAGCTATTACTTTTCCTGTGTGTAGTACAACCGGCATCTCTTCTAATACCAACAGAATGATCTTAAAGTGATGGTTCACTCAAATTGAAAACTGTTCACCCCCAAATTGGGATCTAGTCACCTTCATGTTGTTCAAAACCTCTGTTTTTTCTTTGTCCATCGAACATAAAATAAATCTTCTAAATAACTTTGTTTACATTCCACGGAAAAAGAAAAATCATACAGGTTTGGAATAACAAGAGTGGATAATTTTGGGTGAACTGAAATGGTATCGTGGCTTCATATCAAACTAGCCTTTTTACACTAATAATAATGCTAAAGATAAACCGATAACACTCAGAGACAGAGAGGGGAATTTCTGTCAGAAAATGAAGGGAGTTTCCCAACTGTTTGAGAAAAAGGTACAGATGGAATATGTCCAATTACCCAAAGCAGGAGTGTATTTGATTGCTGCCCTTGGAAAATGTTCAGGGACAGAGATTACAGAGCCGGTCCTGACTTTAAAGCTGTGTAAAATCACATGACCTGACAAAACCCCTTTAAGCAGTTATGACCTATGCAAAAATACAGTCACTGGATGCCAAATTTATGACTGAAGCCTTGCGCTGCCAAACTGAAGTTCTGGAGATGCATACAGTAACACTAAATATCCATCAGTAAGTAATAATAGCTCATAATTTTTATAGTTAGTGTTTTATTTGTGGCTGATTCAGCATTTATTAAATTGAGGCTAATTAACAATAAATGAGCATACTTTGTCAAAATGTAGTCAAAATAGCTGGCACTTTCAAAAAAACAGTGTCTAATGACTTTTTAAAGCATTAGAGGCACAAATCATTTTCTGTTCATTTGATATGTATATTAAAATATATAAAATTCACTCATTTACAATATAAATGATAAAATATAAAATATTTTTTATTCCTAATCTAATACATTTTATTGAATTCTGTGCGGAGAGCCACAACAAGCACTACATGTCGTACTGCGTATGGTTGTGTATGTGTCCAATAAAACTTTAAAAGCAATACATATATACCTTTCACACCTAGAGTCCTTTTCAGTTCCTTTATTTAAGTCCCTATTTGGTGAGCATGACAGTAATACTCCATGGCAGCACTGAATTGAGAAATCAAGTAAATGTGGATATCTGGACGGTCACGAAGCCCTCATCTTTGAGCATGAGATGAAATTATGTGCTCAAACACAGTAGAAGCTGTTAAAATGATGCATGGCAAAGCATAGGTAGTTTCCTCTCAAATACCTGATACATTTCTCTTAAATTTTTCATTTCCTTTCGATCTCCCAGATCACCTTTCATACTGATGTAGCACGGCTAGGACTAGCCCCAATGCAGCAATGGAAATTTGGGGATTATTTTACATGCTGAGAAGGAGATCTGTAAAGCACAGGCGAGAGACCGATTTAGCAATAACATAGAAATATGAGACCAAAGCTGAAATATTTTAGTATTAATTACCATGGCCATGGCTTATTTTACCTCTAACTGTCTTATTTGCCCAGCAATGAAAATGGCAATCAGATAAATGGAAAAAGGTCTGGTGGAGGGCATGGTCCTGACACCTCAGTGAAGTTGAAGGAGCCATGCTCTTGTAGCAGGGTAGCTCTCTTGACAGACAGACTGAGACTAGATGAGATTTTTTGCTGTGGTAAACACTATATCAGAGCCAAGAACTAAGGGCACTGGTGCTAGAGGGGTTTGTGTCACTTTCTCACTCACATGCATGCACAAACAGACCCTGAAAGAGCAGTGATCTGGCCTTTATAAGGGCTGGTTAAGCAGCAGGGGAAGCTTTCAACCCAAATTGTCTCCTTTTGCCTGTCTGTCCGACCTCCCTCCAGACATATATGAAAGTTAATGGTCCTGAAGTAATTTCACTATACTGCGATTAAACTACACCTTTACCTCTTTACCTCTCTATTTTATTTTATTTTATTTTTGTTACATAAAAGGAAATATAAGTGCTCTTTTTTGTATTTCGTATAGGAGAGGCCTCCGCACTACGTGATTACGCTGCCAACACCATGAATGAGTTCTTACACATGTTCGGCTATGATGACCAGCAGGCTCGGGATGAGCTGGCCAAGAAGATCAGCTTTGAAAAAATAAAAGCAGCTACCTCAGATCCCTCCTCCCTGAGCAGTGAGGAGGCCACCCGTCGAGCTCGCTTCTCCAAGTATGAGGAGTACATCCGCAAGCTGAAGGCCGGGGAGACCCTGCCCTGGCCTATGCACACCAAGCCCGAAGTGCTCAACTCCAAAATGGAGAAGAGCACTGCCCTCATCCAGCCGGTCCTCACAGGGTCAGAGGGTCAGATATTTCCACCCAAAATGGACCACAAACAAAGCTCACATAACCCACCCCCAACCAACCCGTCACACATCCAGAACCTGGCATCCCGTGCGTCCAAGTACGATTACTTCATTCAGAAGCTAAAGATGGGCGAGAGTCTCAAACAGCAGAATGGCAATTCCTACAAGCGGCCCTCCAAGTACGACTTGGAGAATGTCAAGTTCCTGCACCTCTTTAAACCTGGAGAGGGCAACCCTGACATGGGCGGCGCCATCGCTTTTAAGACCGGCAAGGTTGGCAGGCCGTCAAAGTATGATATTCGAAATATCCAGAAGCTCATCCCCAAGAAGGTTGATCCTCCGATGATGCCAAGCATTCTACCAGCTACGGCAGGAACCCCAGGAACCCCAGTCATAAATACGCCTGCTCCCGCTGTGGTCGTGGGACCTCCCGGGTTGCCTGTAGACCAGGCGGGCCACCTTGGCTTTAACACTGACTACATGAAGTCCAGCTTCTCCAAGACTGACTCCATCACTACTGGAACCGTCTCCTCAGTAAAGTAAGGCAATGTTTGAAAATTGTTATGAACTGTTCAGACAATATATTGAGAGGAAATTACAGTGTGGGGGTGTGGGGGGGGGGGTGTATGTCAAAAGACCTCCGTTGGCTTAAAGTCAGATTACAATTTTGTAGGGCCTTGGTTGGCACTCTTTCTGTTTTTTGACCTTGTCAATGGTTCAGGTTAGCAAGAACCTAAAGGCTGTTCTCCAGCAGTCCCTGGGCCGTTCAGCAATGTGGCAATGTGCAAGCACACACACATACAGTGATTTGTTGTCAAAACCACCCCTAAAGAGGCAGATTAACCCCATGTCATCCCCTGCTGGAGCTGTTCATGATTTTAGTCCTGAGTTGCTGAACTGCTGCCACCTTGTATACAAAATGTTTCACGCAGAGTATAATGTGTTACATTATGAATTCCTCCCTTTAAGTGCTTATTCAATGAACGTGGGATGCTAAGCCAAATGCTGCCACCAAACCCAGACTTTCAAGTAACTGGTAAATCAATTAAAAGCCAAACCTAAAAGCCATAGTTATCCCTCATACAAGGGCCAATCAATCAAAATAAAATGAACGCAGCCATTTTCTGGCTTTCTGACACTCTGCACACACCCTCATCTTTGCATTTGTGCTCTCTCCAAAAACACACATAAATAATTTATGCATTCAAAAAAAAAAATTTTCCCCTCTGTGCCTTCATTGTTGGGAGGCCATACATCAAAGCGTGCATATATACCTCCCTGATTCATTCCCAAACCAAATCGCTACTCCATCGAAGAAAATGTATATTGATAGCCCAAACTTTGAAATGGCTCATAAGTAAATACTGCGTCAGTTTGTTTTTATTAATGATGGAATGCATGCCATTAATCCTTTTCTCTTTTTTTCTATGCTGTGATAGGAACGGCCTTCCTCCCGAGAAACCTGTCTCAGAGGACATCAACATGTACCAGAAATATATCGCCAGGTATG